TCTCGCCGCCCCTGAGCCTCTGGCCTGTACCCCAGTTCTGTATGCACAAATAAATCTTAAAAAAAATTTTTTTTTCTCTTTACAGTTGCTGTGACAACATAGCAAAATAATCGCTCAAGACTAATAATGTGTGTATCAACAGCGATACAATATTTAAAGTATGAGACTGGGCTTCTTTCACAGTCACCCAATTAAACAATTAAAAAAAAATGCTTTATGTTGGCAAAAAAAATCCATTCCAATCCTATTTCAGAGACAGTAAAAGCTCTAAGTTGGCAAAACAGGCCATTCCAATTATATTTCAGAGACAGAAAAAGGAACACTAATCAGTAAAATAATAATCTAATTTTATAGGATCTAAGAACTTGACTATCTGGCGCTCCCTGGTGGTAAACTGGTTATAGCGCAACACTGTGAAGCTGTCTGCAGTCACTGCAGCATGAGTTTCATCCCCACCCAGGGAGCTGACCCACATAGCCCAGCAGACCTCTCCTGTCTCAGCTGCTGCTCCCCTCGGCAGTGTATTTCAGTAGATCCACCTGTTCTGCTCCCCACTCTGTCTCTGGGGAATCCTCTCACCTCCCAAACCATTGGTGTAGACCTCAGTCCTTGTGTGCCTAAATAAATAAATCTTTAAAAACAAACTTGCCCACCCACATTACAGGTTATGGGATTTCTGTATTCTCAAGTTCACAGCTTACAGGCAGTCACCTATCCTCTGGCTTCCCAGATGCCATGTGCTCACCAGGAATGCAAACTAAATTTCACATTGCCTTAAGCAGCATTTAAGTAGGAAGAAAAATCTGCTGCCATGGAGAAAAAAAAAATTCCATATAATGCATTCCACAGAAGGCATTATAGAAGGCTCCTGGTGTTACCACTGCTCAGGTCATTTCTACCTCTGGTGAGGCCGACTAGAAGCAAAATCCAAAACTACATTAATTAGTATCCTTGCTAATACTGAACATGCCATATGTGTTCAGAAGATTCTGCAGCTGACTATTACCTTCATGTCGATCTCAGTGCCATGGATTTGCTGAGCTACCGTCTTGATGATACCGATGACAATGTCCTGCAGCCCTTCTCTCTCTGAGTAATAGTGCAGAATGAGTCCTTTGCCCTTTTCTGCATCTGTGCATCTGAAGGAAGGCGCCCGCATGCCCGGGTATATGGTGGCCAGGTGGTCATGCAGAGCATCCAGGTTCTGCAAAGAAGGGGGAGAGGAGGAATAAATATGGCCTCCACAATGGCCCCCCATGTTGGGAAAGCAAGTGAAGACACAAGGATCAAATCTGCACTTAGTGGGTAGTTGGGCTGAGTAAACACACATCCACAAACCTCATCCTCCCCTTGCTGCACCGGGACGTCTGTAAGAAAAGAATCAAGGAGAACTTACAATGAACATAGTGTGATTAAGAAAAGCATCGGTGGCTCTGAAAACTTACATTAATGATAAATAAATAAAAATAAATGATGCTGTAGGAGAGAAACATAAAAGAATAAATAAGCATATTTACTGGAGTCTGAAGCATATACACACACATATATATATAAATGTGTGTATTATATATATGTGTGTATATATGTACATTATATATAGCAATATGTAATGGGCAGAGGGGTCATACTTTACCTGCTATTTACACTACAATCCTAAACTTTATTAATAACTTAAAAAAAATCAGAGTTACAAACATGCAAAGATAAAAGCACATTGTTATGGCCCTCCCTGGAGGCGCAGCGGGTTAAAGCACTGCACTGAGAAGCTAAAGCCACTTCCGCATGAGTTCGATTCCCGCCTGCCCCGGAGGTGACCACATGGCGTGGCAGA